TGTTCTGATACTAGTGGTGGTGATTCTACACGATGGTGGAGAGTAGATCTACTAGAAGAATATCCTATTCAAAATATTACCATCTATTATCGCAACGAACGTGAGCACCAAGTTATTTCTAGAAATTATATATAATCATAAGTTCAATAATAACAATATTCTAAGAATACCAATATATGATTCTGTAGCTTTAAACAAATAATTATTTGTGTTAATCAGTCCTTCATTCATTTTCTGGTTTCATAAAAAAATCGGAGAACATTCCTCTTCGTTCTATTTCCCGATACTGAGCTGAAAATAACATAATAATACAAGACAGCCCAGTAACATTTACTCTGTGTATAGAGTGTACAGTACTAATCCCTATTTTTAAATTGGAAATTAGTTACTGTAAAAACTCTGTCCTTTCTGTCCTTTTTTCATCAAATCATTTAACAATAATAATAACAAACATTTTAATTCTAACTTTATTTTATGTTTCAGCTGAATGGGGTAAGTAGAAATATTATGTTACTGTAAGAATGATTTACTAATAGAGGACATACCTCAAATTATATCAATATCAGAATTAGCTAATTACATTGATGATATGAAAATAGATACTGTGTAATGACCTCAGGCCTCGATCCCTCTTCCTTTAGAGATTTGAAAACATCTTTTTTCTCTGATCAAGTCAGTTTTAATCGCAATGTGTCAATTTAAGAAAAACACTTCTCTTTCTGTCGATATTATTACTTGTTGGTTCTTGTTCGTTTATCAATTATGTGTTTTTTTTAAAAAAACAAACAGCATTATGAAACTTCGTCTTACCAAAATTGTGTTTGTCTAGTAGTTCTGAAGTCGCAAGCTCGTGCTTTAAAATAGCTTAAAATCGATTCGTCAGTTTAAATCAACAAAATAAAACCACAATCATTTACCTAATGTCAAAAATCGTAAACTCACAAAGCCACTTGTATGTATCTATGTTTCTTTTTTACAAACATACTTTTAGCCTTACCATCATTGAATGGATTTTCAATACACGTTAATAGAGAGAATGAAGAACCAGAACTATGTTATAAAGATAATATTATACGTTACACTACACCAGCAGTAAATAATATAGAGTGTAGTCAGACTATAACTGGTCGTTATGTAAATATCAGTAATTTTCGTACAAGAGCAGATGAAAAATTTTTAGTCTTGTGTGAAGTTGAGATTTATGGTAAGCTTCATGTCTAGAAAAGTATCATGGTATTACATTTCCTATCGATATCCCTCTTATAGTAGTCCACTGTTCATGACAAAATACAAGGCACTCCTACAACGATTAACTCAGTCAATATAAAAAATCAACTGCACCAGCTTGGGTAAATGTTGATCATGTTTTGCATCTAACAGACCTACTGAGCATTGAAGCATTCAGCAAACATATGGCCAAGAAAATTGAAAGAATATCTCATAATTTGCCCTCAACTAATAGTTCTGAAATAAGCTTAGGTGCTCGCAAAATTAGAAACGAGAATCACTGAAACAAGTCAAAAGAAGTTTTGTAATGTTTGAACTCGTTGTTATCTATTTCTCCCTTTATAGCCTGTGATAATGGTGCGTATGGTGCTGGATGTGATAAACTATGTTCAAATAGAAATTGTTTATTAGAAACATCACTATGTAACCATATCAATGGTAGCTGTCGAGGTGGATGTAAAGAAGGATTTGGTGGAATTGACTGTGTTAAAAGATGTGAAGATAGTGTTTATGGAGTAGGATGTAGTAAGAAATGTTCAGATAGAAATTGTTTAGTAGAAACATCACCATGTAATCATATCAATGGTAGCTGTCAAGGTGGATGTAAAGAAGGATTTCGTGGAATTGACTGTGTTAAAAGATGTGAAGGTGGTGTTTATGGAGTAAGATGTAGTAAGAAATGTTCAGATAGAAATTGTTTAGTAGAAACATCACCATGTAATCATATCAATGGTAGCTGTCAAGGTGGATGTAAAGAAGGATTTGGTGGAATTGATTGTGTTAAAAGATGTGAAGGTGGTGTTTATGGAGTAGGATGTTGTAATAAATGTTCAGATAACATATGTTCAGGTTGTAGCAC